CCTCCAAGGAGCACTCTGGCTGCACTTCTTCCAAAACAGATCTATTGGTTCTTTTGGCAATCCATGGCACTTTCAGTATTCTCCTCCAACACTACAACTCAAAGGCATCAATTCTTCTACGATCTTCCTTATTCACTGTCCAGCTTTCGCATCCATATGAGGCTATTGAAATACCATAGTTTGGTTCAGGTGTAGCTTAGTCCTCAAGCCATTTAATGTTTTAATAAAACATTAAAAAAACAAAAACAAAAAAAGTAGAAGACAATAAATGCTAGGGAGGATGCAGAGAGACTGGAACCCTCCTACAGTGTTGGTAGGATTGCAAAATGGTCCAACCGCTCTGGAAAGCAATATGGTGCTTCTTCAAAAGGTTGGAAATAGAAATACCTTATGATCCAGCAATTCCTCTACTTGGTATTTACCCACAAGAAATATGAGCCATAACACGAGTAGATACATGCACACCAATGTTCATAGCAACACTGTTCACAACAGCAAAAAGATGGAGACAGCCTAAGTGCCCATCAATTAAAGAATGGATAAACATAAAGTTTGTACATACACACAACAGAATACTAGGCTACCTTGAAGAATAACAAGGAAGCTGCAAGCTACCGCATAACATGGATGAACCTTGAGGGCATTATGCTGAGTGAAATTCTTCACGAACGAAGAAACATTGCATAGGACCATTATTGTAAAAGATTAGGAAAAAGAACCCACCCTAAAGAGGAGGAAAAAAAAACATACATATATATTTTTTCTGTATGTGCCGTGGAGTTGGTTCCGACTCATAGCGACCCTGTACAGGATTTCCGAGGCTGTAAATCTTTATGGGAGCAGAAAGCCTCATCTTTCTCCTGCGGAACAGCTCATAGTTTTGAACTGCTGACCTTGCGCGGTTCACAGCCCCATTCGTAACCACTACATTACCAGAGCTTCTATATATTTGTTGATCATCAGGATGTATGGGATGAGGTGAGGGGAGGCAGGAAGGAATAGGTGGAGCACAGGGCAGGGAATAGACATAGAATAGCATGGGCACTGGGGGCGGGGAGTTCATGGGGAGGGGAATGAAAGAACAAGGCGGACGGGAGAAGAGCTAGGCAGATTAGCATGGGCTAAGTGGGGCAGAGGTAAATGATGAACGACAGGGCTCCGGGATACAGGGATGGAGGCATGGTTTGAATGGGTAAAAGAGGGAAATAATGTTAATATGCTTGCCTGTCTTTTCCATCTTGATTTACCTTGCCTACCATTGTAAAATAGACACTTTAAGAGGGAGAGAAAGGAATAGCCAGAAA